GGGGGGTGGTGGGTGGGTGGTTGGTACAGAGGTACACCATATCCTGTCTCGGAGCTGGAAAAGAAGTGTTCGGAGTTCAAATTTAGCAAACTGAGAGGAAAATAAGTCGAGATATGGGCAATTTTGTAAACCAAGGATACCGTGTCTGACTCACAGTCTTTTCTCATAATGAAGTAGTGATGGGGGGCAGAATGAAAGAAGGCAAACAGTAAGTCCACACAGCCTATGAGGAGAACCCAAAGACCCCCACTCATCCCACTTAAAAACAACCAGGCCTGCCCAGTGGGTTCTTAGAAAATGTGACTTTTACTTCAAGGTAGAACACGTTAACTTCAGATCCTGCAATTATTGAGCCTGTGTCAGAAAAAAAGAACGTCAGTAAAGAGAGATAGCACTTCAGTGTTAATAGGATAACCTTCAGGAAAGTCAATGTAAAGACAGTCCTGTTGTATGGATGTGAGACATGAAATTCATCTCAGACTTGGATAAAGAGGATCCAGGTTTTCTTGAACAAATGTCTAAGGAAGTTACTGAGGATCAGATGGACAGACAGGGTCACCAACGAGGAGTATTAAGAAGAACGAAACAGAAACCAGTCAGAGATGAGGTGGGGTGAAGGCGGGGGAGATGGATTGGACATACTCTCAGGAAGTTAAGCAGCTGCATAACAAGTAAAGTGTTAGATTTGAACCCACAGGGTAAAAGATCAAGGGGAAGACCACGTGGAACCCAGAGAAGAGTCACAGAAATAAATGTACAGAAAAGTGGGAAGATATGGAATAACATCACGCGCTAGCCCTGGATAGAAAAAGGAGGAGAGTGTTTGTTCGTGGCCTATATCTTCAGAAAGGCAATGGTGATGATGATGACAGTTTTAGCACTCTGGAGTTAACAGGCTCAACTTTAGTAAAGTGTTAGTACTCTCGTGTTAACAGGATAAACTTCAGTAAATAAAGTTTTAAGTTCTACATGAAGTATGTTAATATACCGTCTTCTCTGAAATCCAACAACGCCCATTGTTATCATTATTATTATTATTATTATTATTATTATTATTATTATTATTATTATCATTATTATTATTATTATTATTGTTGTTGTTGTTATTTTTATTATTATTGTTGCTGTTGTTGTAGTTGTTGTTATTATTATTATTATTATTATTATTATTATTACTATCATTATAAAAGACCCCCCCCCCCGGTCAAAGTATAAAATCAGTATCTTTACCTTTATACACACACGTAGGCAGAGCTGAGCGGCAGGAGCTGCTGACGTCACACATCTGGACATACCGGCACTCCATGGAAGGTTCCTCACATGACATCCGCTAGTCCGTTATGGATGGATGGGCGGGGGTGGGGTGTTGTTATTAGATAGATGGATAGATGGATAGATAGATAGATAGATAGATATGTAGATAGATAGATAGATAGATAGATAGATAGATAGATAGATAGGAGTTAGATAGATAGACAGACAGACAGACTGACAGACTGACAGACAGACAGACAGACAGACAGATAGACAGACAGATAGACAGATAGATAGATAGATAGATAGATAGATAGATAGATAGATAGATAGATAGATAGATATAATCTAATTTTACTTACCTCACCTTAAAGAGGCTTGCAATGCGAAATTTACTATATAAAATGTTTCATACAAATGTATTCATAGGAAAACACAGTTTTAAAAAAGATGAGTTTATTGTTTGTTACTGAAATTGTCATTAAGACTCTATCCTCCTGGAATGCAAGCGAATTAAAGAGATAAGATATCACAAACATCATCATCAGAGAGAGAGAGAGAGAGAGAGAGAGAGAGAGAGAGAGAGAGGGAGAGATGGGGTGGTGGGGGGATTGAGAAGGGTGAGGTGGGTGAGGGATACAATACTGTTTCCACAAAAAAGAACATGATTCATCCATTCATCCATCCATCCACCCATCTATCCATCCATTCATCCATCCAAACATTCATCCACCCATCCATCCATCCGAAACAACTAAACTATTATTTTGATGGGGGCCATTCATTGTTTACCGCTCACCTCACACGGTTCCTTCATTGCTTGAATAAGGCCCAGGGTTGCCATTAAAACCTAAAAGGAAAACACGGTCTTTATTCGACAATACTGAAACTTAATATTTCGTCTTGTAGTTTGCTTAGTTTTTGATCATAGGTCGTTGTAAAGAGTTAACGCCCCCCTTCCCTCCCCACCCCTTACAACACCGTAAACATAATATGTTTAAGAGGCCTGAACTCCAAATTGAGTGTCCATCTCTGATAGGAACCAGGCAAGTGGGTCGGAGAGCTCAAAAACTCCCCAAAACAACTCAAGTTTAGAACACCACTTTGGGGATTCGAACCAAGGCCATCCGCTTCTTAGTTCAAACGTGGTATCGACTCAACAATATGTGTGTTCTTGCTTAGTTTTTGATACTACGTAAAGTAAGAAAAGAAAGGAAACATTACTTCCGAATCAACCATTGCGTTGGATATATCCATCAAAGCCAAATGGGTATGAAGTCTGGAATACTCACAGAAACAACCTAATTTGAAAAAACAACAACCCAACTTTAGATTCAAACAAGTACCATCTGAGCTGTATTCAGATTTGATAGAAACAGAGCCTGATCGAGGATTGGCGTCTGTGGTGTTATGGCTACACTTTTCATCGTTGCACACAACAGACGAGAGTTCGATTCTTGTGTAAGAAAGTTATATACACTTGTATTCTGATAAGTGTGGCGGAGCGATTAGTGCGCTTGTCTCCAAGGCGGAGGGTCCGGGTTCGAGCCTCGGTTCGGACACGGATTTTTTTCACCCCCTCCTGCCCACCCAGCAGTAATGGGTGCCTGACCTCGAGTTGGGGAAGTAAAGGCGGCGAGGAAAGGACTGGTCACCCTACCACAATATGCCGAAGGCCCAGGAAGTTGTCTCACTAACAAGGCAATCCCCAATGTCCGGATCGGATGCGGGAACAACTTTGTTTTTTACTCTGATAAGATGACGCAGCGTTGGTCAGGGTTCACCGAATCACGCAAGACTGCGTTGTTTTTACAGGCTGCCTACCGTGAGTTATCCGGGGCTTAGAGTTCTAGTCCTTATTTTCTATGGACCAAAACCTTTCAAAATTTGTAGCCCATCACGAAATGGACCTTTCGCCCTGAAAGCTATGTTTGTTACATATATCTATCCCGTATTCCTCAGTAAATTAATAATGCACGGGTTGATTTGGGAGATTTTGTTTGCTGATACGTATAAACTGAAAAAAGCGCGTTGGACAGGGGTGAACTAAATTATCTTTTCGGTGTGCAAAAGCAATATTTCTTTTAAAAAATATAATCCGAATGCATATTCTGGCTTTCGGTCAATGTTGATGTCAACTGAGTTGTTAACAAGAAAGTAAATTGACATTTCTTTGGGGGCTCTCGTGGCCTAGAGGTTAAGGTGTCGGCCTCTCATTCAAAGGTCCCGGGTTCGAATCCGGGTAATGACCGAACAATTTTCTTCTCTAAAATGGTCTCCTTCCACCTCCTTTCCTGCTCTCTAACTATGTTCTGTCGTCTGCTTTCGTCTCCTCTTTCTGCCCCTACGGGACACACCAACTATTTTCAGTTGGTAGGAAATTTTGAATTTTGCCCGGGTGGCGGCCGAAGCCTACTCTTTCCGATTTTAGACCACCAAGGGATCTTTAACTTGCAAGTTGCACACGCGACCTCCGAGATTTTTCGCCCTTGCTCGAGAAGGCTAGGTATAGATCTTTCCTACCAGAAGATCAGGGATGTGTCTGAAAGACAGCAGTAAGTAGGAACCAAAGACTAGCAGTAGAAAAGCTCCAGAAAGTGTCAGGAGCCTAGTGGATGGGGGCAAAAGAGGTGAGGGGTGCGGGCAGAAAGTGGAGATGAAAGCAGACGACAGAACAATGCCTGGGAGCAGGAAAGGATGTGAAGGGAGACAATTTTAGGAAGAAAAATTTTCCTTTGCCACCCAGATTCGAACCCGGGACCTTTGAATAAGAGGCGAACAAGTTAACCTCTAGGGCACGAGAGCCCCTTATAGGCTTTGAGTGTTTTACATCAATCACATGATCACTGAGCGATTCACTCGAGATACAATATTTCATAGTAATAATAATAAGAACCAGTTCAACCACATAAAGAAATACCATCACAACCAAACACTAATTATAGGCACGAAAAGACAGCAGTAAAAACAAAACATAATAAGAGCACTTACGAACTCACTGTAACTGAGAATTAAACAAATGAGTCTTGTGCAATGGCTTGAACGTGTTAAGATTTGTTATTTCTCTGAGATCCCGGGACAAGGATTTCCAGATTTTAGGGAAAAAAAGAGAAACTTTTCTTACCAAAAGAGCTTAATTAGGGGCTCTGAATTTTGTTGCGTCTGTGAATGACCGTAACTGACGAGATGGAACATACGTTGTTAAAAGCTCGGACAGACATAATGATGTTGTTTACGCTCCAGTCGACGAAAGTTACATCATTTAGGAGAAGGGCTTGGGGCTCCATTGGTCTAGAGGTTTAGGTATTTGCCTCTCATTTTTTAAGTCCTGGGTTCGAATGCGGACAGCGACGGAACATTTTCTTCTCTAAAATTGTCTCCTTTCACATCCGTTCCTGTTCTCTAAAATGTTCTGTTGTCTTCTTTCGTCTCCACTTTCTGTCCCCACCCCCTCAGCTCCTTTGCCCCCTCTTCTGGGCTCCTGACTCTTTCTGCAGCCTTGCTACTGCTACTCCTTGGCTCCCTCTTACTGCTGTCTTTCAGACACACCCCAGATCATATGGTAGGTAAAATCTAACACCTAGCCTTCTCGGATAAGGGCGAAAAATCTCGGAGGTCCCGTGTGCAAGTCGCGAAGGTTAAAGATCCCTTGGTGGTCTAAAATCGATAAGAGTCATCTTCGGCCGCCATCAGAGGAAAATTCTAAATTTACTACCAACTGAAAATATTAGTGTGTCCCGCGCGCTCATATGACCGCATGCAGTTGAGAGCGCCGTAAAACACTTACCAAAAAAAGTAAAACCCGGAATCGAAGTGTCAGAAAGTCTCAGCAGAAAGACGGAGACTCTCGATAACAATTGTATTCAAATGGGATTCGAACTCAAGAGTTCAGATGTCCTCTGTGCGCGACGGCGAAGTGACTTAACGCTACACCACAGACGCTGTGTCAGCATTAACTAGAAACAAGACATACGGAATCTTGTGTGAAATCAGGTGCTCGTCAAAATAATGAAATCGGAGAAACAAGCATTTTCCTCACCGGTTTGACAACTTTTATCAATTTAAAGTATTTTTTTGGGTAGAACACCTTTTACGTCCACTGACGGGTACATTTCGGCGAGGATTTAACCGAAGTAAAGCTGAAAAATGTTGAAAAGAACAACAAGAACACAACAAGAGCAGCAGCGGCAGCAGCACCAGCAGCAGCAACAACAAAAACAACAATAACAGCAGCAGCCGCAGTAGCAGCTAAATCAGAAACAGCAACAACAACAGTATCAGAGAAGCGGAGCTAAAGCTGCAAACAGTTTCAAAAGCAAGACTTTCTAACAATGACTTACCCAGAAACCAATAAGATAACCACACCGTGACTTCATGTTGAAAAAATCTCCCAGAATGATCGCCGGTCAAAATTTTCAGATTTATTTTTCGAATGTTCAGGCTGGCACGGTACTGAAAATGTCTCCCCCTCAGCACGAGTCAAAAGTTTTACAGGTTCTCGATGTCCTGCTTTGTTTCAGGGATCATGCCACTTCATTAAACAAAAACTGTACTTGAGTTAAGGCGAGGCGAGGCGAGGCGAGGCAAAAGTGAACGTTGATACAGTTAAAATAGGAGGGATATCTAGTTGAGAAGCGCGTAAAGCATGCAGCTGGGCATGGATGTGAGGTATTATTGTTATTGTTTTTTATTATTGTTATTATTAATAATATTATTATTATTATTTAAAAAATTATTATTGTTAGATGATCATGTGAAAATCCATCTTTTATTCTAAGCTAATCTATTATCTTTAAGCTGTTAATTGTTAACACCCCAAGTAATCCAACATGAATCAACGTGAAAAAAATGACGGACTTGCTTTTAAAGCTATAAACCTTTTTAAATCTGCAGAAACCGCCTACTTGGATTTTTAAATTGTATTTATCAAGGACTTTTCTAGAATACAGCTAACACGGGTTAAAAAAAATATTGATTTGTTTCGACAAATTGATACAAGTCTTTGTACAAAAGCTGGAAAGGTTATGTCCGATAGTTGAGGGGATATTTGACAATAGTTGCGCTACGAATT